GCGTGCGTGTGTGTTTTGAATGTTAGAGTCAAGCAGGAAAATAAAGGCAAAATCTGATCCAAAGTGGAACCTCAATTCCATTTTACCCAAGGTCTTATTAATTACCAAGTGTTTTATTTCAATTCACTAAGTTTAGAGTGGCTCAAAACTGAATTAAGAGTTAAGTGTTGGACATTTCATTAAGCTATAGCTTGATTCACTATTCCATTTCTGACTGCCACAGTCTAATTTCTTAACTCAGTTGTGAGACTTTGAAAACAAAACCCAGTTCTCTTCCTGTATCTCAAAGACAAATTTAAAAACTCAAAACACTTTTTGTTTAAATAAACTGCTCTTGTTTTTAATTTTAGTTTTTATGAAACATTGCACTAAGTCAAACTAGGCCTTTGAATAAGTGGATAAAGAGACCCAAGAGAAGTCCAAAACTGGTACTTACTTTCCCTCTCTAAAAGGCACTTGCATTTACTTGACTACATTTGATGAACCTCATGCCTTCTGTGGTTGCATGGTAAGGTTTTCATCAGAGAAGCAAACAAACAATTTTTTTTTTTTTAAAAAAAAAAAAGACCGGTAATTCACTGCAGTCCAGTTAAAGGACTTTCACTCAGCCTGTCAAATGAGAAAAAAAGAAGTTTGGGTTTTGACGCCTTCCCACCCAATTCAAAACTTTATTACTTTTTTGCTTTTTTTAATGATCTTAACTTCTATTGAGGCTTTTGGTAAACTCACAGTGTAGAAAGAATACAGAATTTCATCATAGCCCAAGTTAGAGGGCTTTTTCTTGCCCTAATTGTGTAGCCTCCTCTGTACCACACTGGGGTGTTAGTAGCCCCAGAATTAACCTTTGCCTTGTCACCACTGTCTTTTCTTAAATTCCCTGTACCATGCTTCTCCTTGAGATTGTTGTCTTCTTCCCTCCTGGGGCACTTTCTGGGAAAAGCTTCTTTAAGACTTATGCCTTTTATGAATTGAAGACAAATAAAGGTGCTTTTAAATCTATTGGACGTGCAGAATTTTCTACTTGATCTTCAGGACACTCGAGGTTGATTTGACTTAGTTCTGATTCTTGAAAGTAACCTTCTTGGGGCTAAATTTTGGACCGTCCTGTCAATCTTTACGCTTTATACCATTTTCTCTCTCCACCTCAACCTTTTGTTTTCCCCCTCCAGAGGAATTTGCTTCTATTTATCTGTGTCATCTACCTAATCAGAGCAAATAGAAACAGCTTTTATACTGTTCACATTCTTATAAAATACAAGAAGTTCTAACTCAGTCTAGATTTTTGTTGATGCTTATTCCTCCTTCTTTGTTGAAGATAAATATTCAGGATGCTAAATTTATTTGTAGAAAAAACTCACTCTCCCTAGAGAACTCAGAATGGGTTGCTTCATGGATTCCTTTTTCCAGTTGTCATGTCCAACACTTCCCTGAGCCCAGCACCCTCTGCCCCTCTTCCCCTTTAGGATACCCTTCTGGCTACATCTGGTTGTCGGTAGGTGAGAGTTCTTTCTGTATTCCTTTCATCTTCCCTTTCTTTTCACCTCTGCAGTTTTGCTGATCCAAATGAACGGGTAATATTCTTCAAATTGCTATTAACCCTGGGTCTTTGGGTCTCCTGAGGACAGTATTTTATGACAGTTAAATGGTTTGGATTGACTGACTGGAGAGTCCCAACAATAGGTCTGTGTTAAAGTCAAGTGCTGCCTTCCTTCTGTCCATTTTGCTGTGGAAACCAGATCATAACCTGTTGAGGGATCAGCACTCTCCTCTTTCCCTCCTTGCCTGGCTGCCCTTTTCCCCACTCCAGTAGTACTATGTGAGTTTGTTAGAGAATCCCCAGGCCCACTATCCTGAGAGTGAGCCAGCCGGCTTTCCACAGCCTGCTCTTCCCAACCCCACTTCAAGTGTTTTGCATATGGCATTTAGGAGGATTATTAAACAAAAATGAAATAGATTAAGAAATGAACATAAAAGAATCAATTCTCTTGAACTGTGGTTGCATAATGGAAATCGACTACCATGAATGAACCCGTGTACTGAAGTTATGAACAGGAGAGCTAATGCACTGCCATGAGTTCATCTTTATTATTGCATTACACCTGAATCAATTGATAAAGTAGCTTTTTTTTTCTAAGCGAGGGATGGCACTTAATTGAATAAAAGTCAATGTAATTATATTAGCAGAGGCCAACAGTACTGCTGACAGCGGAAAAGGGACACTGTTGAGCAGAGTGCCAGAGCTTGTCCACACATTTCTGCACATCGTTTGGTTGACAGATATTGAGGGCTGGTACATCATCTAATTAGATTACAGATTTCTACTGCTATAAGTGAGAAATGAAGAGAAAATCTCTTCCTGGTAACATAGCGGTGGAGATGTGTAATTTCACAAGTCATCTTAGGAAAGAGGTGTCCATCTGGGTGATCAGTGTGTCCTTTGTCAATGTTAATTTATTCTTCCTCATTCAGTGTGTCTCAATGTGACTGCTGTGTGTCTGGCTGCTGTTTTCTCAGCAGTGAACCTAGGAAGTGGTAACTGCAGATGTGTGAGAAACAACACAGAGTTCTAGATTACAGTCATCACAAAATGTGTGTTTGTGAAATTAAGAAAGGGAGAGGGTGTTAACAGTAATAAATGGGGGGGGGAGGTAGGAATACACGAGCTGTTTATAGTTGGCAGATTGCAGGATCAATAGAATAATAGTACACAGTGTAACTCTGGTCCCACATTCTTGTTATAACCCTGGTGGTGCCCTACCCACATGTCATAGTAAAGACTTCACAGTAGGCATTTCCTGCACTCTGCTTAGCATCTGCACTTGGAGTCATCTGCCATCTGACACCAAGGAAACAGGGAGGACTGTGTCAGAGCTGGGACCGTGGGGACAACTTCTGTTTATCATTCACATACCCACACTGCATGCATCTGTTCGGAACTCATTTATGGATGATGATGATGATGATGCTGTGAATTTGGTTTATCTTAGTTTGATTTATGATTTTTGGATTATGCAGCTGATCTGAAAATCATCAAGACAGCGTATGAGATGATCGCTTATGACAGAAAATAATGTTGTGATCAGAACATTTTAAATCCCTATTTTATTGTTTAAGTTTTTTTTAAACCAGATGTCTAGAATGTGAATTTGTTTTCTCTCTCTCTCTTTCTCCCTCTTTCTCTCTCTCTCTCTCTCTCTCTCTCTCTGTCTCTCATTCTTGCTTTCTTTTGTGATCGATTTAGCAAAAGATTAGAAAGCTGATCTTATTATCACAAGGTAAGCTCAGCCTTCCCAAGTGCAGTGTGGAGAGGGCTGCTGCCCCTCTACCCTTAAATCCAAGTGCTATATATTGTCTTGTGTGGAAGGGTGGAGAAGGGCTGTCCCACCTTTCTTGTCTCTGTGGCACATACCTCTCAACCATCTCAGAAATGTCAGCCATGCCTGTCACCAAATGGAGTGACTTCTTTTGATCATCCATACTTTTTAATTATAACCAGAAGGTCTTTTGAACTGTATGCTGGCCATTTAGGCCATTTCTATTTTCATGATGACTTCTCCATGAAGTAGAGCTTCCACCAGCATTGAGAAGCCTATTTGCCTGTTTATCAGTTTATTTTTGGAAGGGTAGTGTTCAATTTAGGTACTTGTCAAACATCTGAGCCTTTGCAGGTGGAGAGAGGTATATGCCCAAGGGCACTTTAAAAATAAATGGGGGATGTAAATACAAAGGCATTGTTTTCAGAGAGATAACATATCAGACTTTGTAAATCATGATGTCCCTCTGGATGCTTTGGGACAAATATTATCTCTTTTTACACAAGCAAAGTACTCAGTGAATGGAGTAAAAGTTTTGCTTGTCTAAATAGCGTGGGATCTAGTTGTTGAAATAGAGGGATTTTATGTTCTTGTTGTGCTTGATAATTTTTTTGTACTTATTGTGTTTTAATTTTGTCCTTTTGGGTTTTTTTCTCTTGTTTAGTGTGATTTCTTTTAAAGGGTGGGTGGGTTGTATTTTAAAAAATAGTTCAATTAAAAAGTTTAAAGTAGAATTATTTGATAAAAACATTCAGCACTAAAAGTAGCAGTTTCCAAGCTCATTCTGTCTTTACATTTAACCGGGATCCCTAATCATTCAAGAAAAGGGATTTATGTTATTAAAGACAGACTTTAGTATACTTCAAATTACTAATCTATTGGGCCATATTTTTTTCTTATTCAAAATTTGAATGGCTAGGCATTTTGGCACAAGCCTGTAATCCAGCTACTCAGGAGGCCGAGGCAGGAGGGTTGCAAATTTGATGTCAGCTTGAGCAACCTTTGCAAGACCCTGTCTCACAATAAAACTGTTAAAAGGGCTGGGGATGTAGCTCAGTGGTGGAGCACTTTCTTAGAATGCCCAAGACACTGACTCAATTCCCAGTGGCCGGGGGGGCAGGATTCCATTATTTTTTGAAGTTAAACCTAAATTATCTAGACCATTTTACTCTAAGAAATGTGCTTTTTAATATCTCTAAATGGATAGAGTTTTCTGTATTAAGAAAGAGCAGGGGGCTTTTTGTTTTGTTTTGTTTTTTTTTTAGGTAAATTTAAACTTTTCCACTTAGACAAGCACAAAGTTTCCATTCTTTAATCCTACTTAAATGTATATTTCCTAAAAGTTCTGCAGTGAGGTCCTCTGCAGCTGATGCTGCCACATATTAACAGTATCAGAACAATCATTAGAAAAGGGTGCATGGGTTTGCATCCATCCTACCATTTAAGAATTTTACTCTCTCATGAAAATTACGTTAATGGAAAGTTACCCTTATTGCACCTCCCACCACCGCCACTTACTCCCAATCCTGAGGATGTAGGGAAATGCTTGCTTTTATAATGGTGTAATTAGGAATGAATGTGCTTATTTGATGCCTTGTGAAAGCTGAATTTATTTTAAAGTGCTCTCCCTTTTCTCACCCTCCCCGCTCCCTGTATACCTACCCCCCTTCCCTCTTGTTTTCCTAGACACAGTGCCAACATAAATCTGCATCGTAAACTGTTGACCAAAGAACTCGATGACATGGGCCTGGACTCGTCGCAGCCTTCCCTTAGCAAGGACCTCCGGGATGAATTTTTAGTGAAGATCTATGGTGCCCAGCACCCCTTGGGGCTCGATGTCAGGGAAGATGCCTCCTCTCCCGCTGGGACTGAAGACTCCCACCTTAACGGGTATGGGAGAAGCATGGCCGAGGACTACATGGTCCTTGATCTGAGCACCACCTCCAGCCTCCAGTCCAGCAGCAGCATCCATTCCTCCAGAGAATCCGATGCAGGCAGCGATGAGGGGATTCTTCTCGATGACATTGATGGGGCGAGTGACAGTGGGGAGTCTGCACACAAGGCTGAGGCCCCCACCCTCCCTGGGAGTCTAGGGGCTGAAGTTTCAGGATCTCTTATGTTCAGCAGCTTGCCTGGGAGCAATGGTGGGATCATGTGCAACATTTGCCACAAAATGTACAGCAACAAGGGGACACTAAGGGTGCACTACAAAACTGTGCATTTGCGAGAGATGCACAAGTGCAAAGTCCCTGGTTGCAATATGATGTTTTCCTCTGTGCGAAGCCGAAACCGGCACAGTCAGAACCCTAATCTCCACAAAAACATTCCCTTCACTTCAATAGATTAGTCCCAGAACGGACACTACAAATGCCAGCTCTCACCAGATGGCCTACATCTTTGAACTGCCATAGTCAGTGTGCGCTTACCTACGTGGCGGGGGTGTATATGTGTGTGCACATGTGTATGCCTCTGTGTCTACATACACACACATACGCACATTTTCTTTTCTTTAGATAAAAAGATAAACACTAGGTGCTTTTGAATTTTTTCTTTTTCCTTTATAGTTTTGGGAAAGGGATGCGATCTTTAATTCGGGGGTGAAAACAGAGTGCCCCTTTAAACACATACACACACACACAGAGCGTGCAACTAGCCCCAATTTTGATAGAATAATTTTTGGTCTTCTCCAAAGAGACAATTTGTTGTACCCATGACTGTTGCCTGCAAAAAAATAAAAGGGAAAAAAGAAAAAAGAAACAAAAAGGAACTTCTTATAGTTGTCTTTTGTGAACTTTAAGGTTTTGAGAGAATCTTCAATTAAAGCATGGCAGATTCACCTGTAAATATTTAGCCTTGAGAGGCCAATGATGTAAAACAATTGTATTGATGGTCGTTTAACTCTTTTGTTTAATTTTTACAGTTACATCCAGCTGTTAGATATGCAAGAGAAAAATAGTTTGCTGGCTAGCTCTATTCATTTATGTTAGCATTAATGCACATTTTTTTTAAAAAAAAAAAAAAAACATGGTCTTGTTTTTACTACCTGTTAGACATAGTGATAAAGAGGTGCTGGCATGCTTTACAGCACAGATCTGATTTTTTAAAATGTCCTGTACTAGTACGTAAATCCAGTCATGCACTTTTTATCATACACTACAAGGGGATGTGTAATATCCAGGCTTCTTTTTTTTTTTTTTAAACTATTGCCATACTTCAGTAAGTGTCTTTTTTAAAAAATCCACTTGTATAAAAATGGTCTGGTCAGTATAGGGCACAAATGCCAAACAAAAGTATTAGTGTTAACACAAAACTGCCAACTTTGCACAAGTTTCCAGAAAAGAAAATACAATTAGTCACTCAACATAACCACAGGCCAATTTGTCGGCCACCAGAAAACCGCTTTGAAAAAAAACACTTGGTGATTCTTTCAAGTGCTGAATGTTATTAGAATCAACATTGCATCCTTCTTGCTTATATGTTAAATTACATAAAAGGAAAACAAAATTATGTGGTGTGAATCAGCCAAGGCATTTTTTTCTTTAGAGGCAGGATAATATTTCAGGATACAAAAGCCCAAATTACTCACTATGGAACAAAGCTGAATGCAGTAACAGAGTTGAACACTCCTTTCCAAGGCTCTAACCCTTATCCTTTGAAAAGAAAGTCAGTCTAAACTGGATTGGTCTGTTGTATGGCCGTCTCATTTGTGGCAAATTCTGCAGTAGTGCTACGATTCAGGCCTGTTTGATAGACAAAATCAAAGGCTGTTTAACAGCAGCAGTACTTGGAAGCTCTGAGAACACATGCTAAACTTGAATTGAGCAACACTCCTTCCGAAAGGCAGAGGAAGGGGGGTTGAGATAGGATCTCACTGTGTAGTGTTTTGTTTCCCCACACAAATTTGTCAGAGAAAATGAAAGCAAGCCTGAAACCAAGCAATAGAGAGTGGGGGTGGGGGGGAGGGGGTCTGCTCCTAACTTTTGTTTTGTTTTGTTTTGTTTTGTTCTGTTTCCGATGTTTACACATGTTGCCTGAGCTGGTTAACCACATCGGCAGCCTGAGCTACCACAACATACTGACTAAATGATGATATTTACTCAAGTTCAGTCTGCAGCCAAAATTATTAAGAGTATGGACTGCAGACTGTTGTCTTTCTTTCTTTCTTTTAAATGGGGAGGGGGTGACATTAAACAAGGAATAGTTTGTCAAACAATACACAATATAAAGAGAATGTATTTCTTATTTTGCATTTAATGGCCTCAAACATTTCTCCCATCTGTCTAAAAGTTATAAATACCCCTTCATTTCAATGTTTCATGTCATTTCCATTTTTCCTATGTTCTGTAATTATTTTTTTCTGTGTTCACATCAGCATTCACTTCCGTTAAATTTGCCAAAGGAAACTGTTAATATGTTTCTGTTATTATTATTCCTGTAGGATTTATTGTACCTCACAGTATTTATTGTTTCCAAAAATAAGCACCATTCGTTGGGGATTCAGTATTTTTATTTGTGAAAAATTCAGAAACAATAGATTCTTAAAGATAAGCTAGATATATCTAGGAGCTTTATCTTTTTGCCTCCTTCTGAGGATGCTGGGGAGGATGCTATGGGGTTCGTTTGATTCTTCATTTGTTCTACAGTGAGGAAAGACCAAAAGTATTTGCAGTACAAAAGAAACTATATCAAACACTATGTCTGTTAAATGACTAATGTTTACGGTAAAAAGCTGAGGAATTAGTAATAACCGTTTTTGTTTTCTTGTACCTTTGAATTCCCCCAAAGTCTTAATTGCTTTATTTTGGTGTTGTGTTAAATTGAATAGACAGAGATGTTTTCCTTTGTTTTATACCTTATAAGACTCTGTACAGTATGTTTGTTAAAGATTGAACCAGAATAATGAACGTTTGTTTGCAAACATTTTGGTCCTCTTAGCATTCTGTGTATTGTGTTGTTGCCCCATTACCGAATGACTAGATTCAACATGGGTGGAAAATATTTTTAGAATCCCAACAAAAGATTATGGCAACTCTGGCTTTTGGAGTGCATAGACGAAATTACACCTATTTTAATGGAAATTAATACACCTTTGAATTTCAGCAACTTTTAAAAAAAGTTACACTCTTTGTTGAGATATCAGAACTCATCTGTACAAAGTCAGCCTTTAGTCTGTTTAGTTTAATGTCAAGTAAAAAGTCAGGTAGCCCTAATGAGTGAATTGCATAGCTGTCTGGAGGTCATGTCACCAAATGGACCAGGCTCAGAACAACTTTATGTTGCTTCCCACAAACCAGGTGAATGGCTATAGCCAGTTCGGAAAAAAGTAATGTGATTCTAGAAGCAAAATTTCCCTTATTGACATGAATGTGTTCACCTTTTTTTTTCTTTGTCAGAGAAATGGCAGTAAGTCCTGGGGCAGCTGGCACTTTTTAAGTATCTCCCCTATTTGCTGCTACTATTGTGCCTCCAGTGCCCAATTGTTATGGCGGCCTTCAAAACAAGTAAATAGCATTTTCCAATATAAAGCTTGTTTGCTTATAAAGGACAAGGGGAGTGGATGGATGTTGTGCATAAAATTGTAAAATCTAAAGTGTACAATTACTGTAGTCCCACGTGTGGCTTGTTCCTGGGTATGCCTGGGTGCAGGGTTGTGACTGAATTGCAATTCTACTTAAGGTGGTAGTCCCGAGGCTTATGTGCAAATGGGAAGGATAAAGAGATCAGCGTTTAAATCATTGAGCTCTTCCTCTTTGCCCATTCCTACCACTTTTTTTCATGGGAGTTTCTTGTTAAACAGTTTCTCTCTTGCTACATCCATTTTATGCTGGCTGAAAATTAATAGAAATATACATTTTCATCCAAGCAGCTTTTGGTTGATGTTAGCCAGAGTTTTGTCACAGGTACAAAATTAAGGCAGTATTATTGTGCATGTTCTCTAGCTGATGTTGAAACTTACTGTTTTTATCATTTTAAACTATGTTTTTTGTAAATACAAGAAAGACTTGGTCCACTTTGGGAATATCTGCATGCTGTGGAGGGGGAAGAAAGAGAGAAGAAGAAAAGGGATAGATAATAAGTAATTTGGTTTTTAAAATGTGATACAAAGCTTGATCGTCTTAGTTCTGCCAGTCATGCTAGTTAAATAAGTCAACCAGATGTACTTCATTTCAGGTCTCACTCAGATGCCCTGTTCAAGTCTGATGGCTTTTTTAAGGTTGGATGGTGTAAATGTTTTGCTTTTCAATATGACAAGCATTTTAAAAACAAACAAACATTGTTTTAGCACCGTGGTGCCACTGTCCTTGCAGTGTGATTTCATTGGTCATGAATTTCCAGGTCCTTCCAGTAAGAGGAAGAAGGTGCTTAACTGGTTAACCAGTGTTTATGTATATATTGTTCCCCTGCCCTCCAGAAAAACTCTGACAATGTGGAGAATGGGCTGGCCCAGAGGTACCCTTCCTCATCTTCCTCAGAAGACGCTGCAACTAATTTCCCACCAAATAAAGTGTGACCTTTCTCCCCCACTGCCTTTGTTCACATCTAGATGTGTGCCCAGCAAATGAGACCAGGGGCGCTCAGTAATGACAATATAAAGAAGCTAGTAACCAGATTGAGATGGACACGTTGCTGCTGCTAACATCTTGACCCGAGCAGTCCTAACTTATGTCTGGTCTGCTGCATCGGGTTAGATTGACTAATAGTAAATAGAATCCACTGTCACAAGACACACTACACCTGCCATCAGGAGTCACTAGGGGATTCGCTCTCATCTCGAGCACACCCTTTTCCCAAGAGCTCTTCAAAGTTAGACAGATCTTACTTATTATTATTTTTTTTAAAATCACCTTCCCTTGAACTTGGAATGTCTTAGGGGGTCTTGCTTTTCCCTCTCATTCTTCGTTTTTAACAGGAGAGATCTAAATGAGTAAGGAGGGCGTGTAAAAGGCACATGCCAAAAAGACTGGAGGGATCACTGTTTTTCCATCAAAAAGTAAGTAAGATGAAGTAGAGGGTTGAGACCTGCTCTAGTTTGGGGTAGGTGGAAAAGAAAATAGTTACTGCACTGGAAATGTGTAAGCGGAAAGTCTGGTACAGCTGTACCTAGCAGTGGGTGACAATATTATAGATGCCATGGTCTACAGCAGGTGAGTCACTGACCACATCTGGGGAAGGGAATGAGGACAGCTGTGTGGGCTAGGAAAGTTCCTTAGGGTTCATGGGAGCCAACAAAGGCAACTGGGGGATTTGGGTTTACTTGTGAATTGTTTTGGGTTGGAAGTGATGCCAGAGTCCCTTGGGGAGTAAAAAGATTCAATCAGTCACCTAGGTTCTAAAAAAGACTAGTGGTGAGACCTATTTCTCATCATAATGAGAGGAACAGTAGGTTTGAGTGGTGCCAGTGTGAATCTTCCCTCATCACTACTTTTTCTTGCCACTATAGCAACGCACAAAGCCGTGGTTTTAACACTAGTTGGCTGATGATCATTTGATCAAAACAGGAGCTCACTCACTGTCCTACCAGGAATATAAGTAGCCTCTGTTTTTGTTTTCCCTCAGAGCTAAACTATGCTTACTTATGTTACTGTTAGGACCATATTTTATCTGTCCCAGACTCATTTCAGCATTTCCTTGAAGTTGGAAAGTTGCTCACTGTAATGATAGTTGTCAAAGAGCATTATTCATGTAAATCCATCTGTAAAACTGACCCTCACTTTTGCCCCAATACATATCTTCCCTCAGGTTCTTTGATCATCTCGTTCTTCCCACATTTTGCACAAAATGCTTTTTTACAGTCATTTTGCAATAACTGGATGCCAAATACTATATTTTGGGCATTTGTTGAAAAATCCAAATGCCTAATAACAGGGTTTTAAAAAAAAATAAGCAATTTTACAAGTACACTGAATTGGATCAGCATTATTATTCATTATAATGCTATATATATTTTTGAAGCAACACACTATAGTTGTCGTAAAACTATCTTTATTCTTCTTCTCCAAAGTGTTGTTGTAAATTCATTTGACCTTTACTGCAAGGAAAAAAAAAATCTTTTTTATATAGGGTATCAGGACAAGGCTCAGTTTGTAACAAATAGTGGACCATTACAAAAGAGGAAAGGAAGAAGCCAGGGCTGAGCAGGGAGAAGCTTCAGTTCAATTTCACCTCATATCTTTCTAATAACTTACTTGTCACTTTATTACCTTCCAGTAATGTGAATGCTGCTGACAAGACTGTCACACTAACAGCAGACAACACCCTCTCTGCTTCAGCCCCAGCTCTCCTGGCTACTTATTGCCCTGGCCCTGAAGGGACACAAACTAATAGTGTGCTTTCCACTTCAGCACTTGGCCATCAAATATAAAAGGATGCGTAATTGCCTGTTTATCCCCGGTGAAGGGGAAATTGAGTACAAGGGCTGGGCTTTCCCACCAAGTCCCCTGATGTACACACACATTCACAACCATCTCCTGCCACTCTCTCCCTCTCTCCCAGCCCTCCCTCCCTTGTTCCTCCTTTCTCCTCAGAGCACACGAGCCCATATGCACACCTACTGTGTCTTTGGGAAGCTCCAGACTGTCTCCAGATGCCCTCTCCAGCTATTAAGTGGACAGTAACAAGATGACTTCTTAAATAAAGGGTCAGGAGAGAGATGCTATCTGTGACAGACATCTCTACTTATTTGGAAACTTAAGTATTGCATTTCCATGCCCATCCACTTTTAGGAGTACTGGGTGTGGTCCTAAAATTAGAGAAATTTTTCCTATAAGTCAATGGCATACATAGGATTGGGTTGCCCCACATTCTGTATGGAAAGGATTAAAATATTTATCTGCCCCTTCAAAAAATGCATGTGTTGTAAACAAACTGGTTATGCATGGTGATAAAACTTTTTTTTTTAATTTTTCTTTTAGTCTTTGGCATCAAACCATTATTCTAAATGTACATATGTAT